ACACACACACACACACAATAAATAAATGTAATAAATAAAAATAAATATTAAAAAAAATATACAGGTTCTAAAATCTTGAAGGTTGCCTATGAATATATTATATGTAAGAAATGTTAAACTGCCAGGTGAGTTTTAAGAACTGCTACAACTAATGGTCACTAAAACAAGGATCCAGATCCTTGTCCTTGTTTGGTATGTATTATGAACAGCACAGATACAGCTATAAACTTCCAGAACCTCTTATCTACTCTCCCAAGTTCCAAGGGCTATAATAAAAACAATTTGAAAGCTGTTATGAGAGCTGGCTAAAAAACATTTGCAAAGCTCCTTGAACTCTAGAAATTGCTCACTTGTTGGACCAGGTGGGAGATTAAGCTAGTATATATCATTGATGCTGATTTAATACTACCACTTATGATAATTCTAAGAAAACTATTCTATATGTAGAATATATATTTTTATCTATAAAGACAACAAATATTATTTAGATGTAGAAAGGCAGTGGCCAATTTTACAGAGAACAAGTATTCCTGGGGGATGAATAGGAAGGAAGTACGTGTACCTACTGTTCTATATTTTCTTTAATTAGCATGTCTTATTTTTAAGAAGAGAAAAACGAGAGTTATCAAGTGCTGTATAAAAGAAATATTATTAGATTGGCAATTATGTCCTACATAGGTACCAATTTTATTATATATACAACTTCTCTCAAAGAGGAAATCAAGGCCAAGAAAATGACTGCCTTACCTGAAATCGTCCCATTTTTAAAACACCAGCTCCTGAACTGGTTACTTCTGTGCCTTGAGAGACTGAAACAGATACATATATATGAGGAAAATAAACTAGCATCCCCTTTTTAGTTAGCTTCTTTTTCCTCTGGACAGAAATACATATTAAAGCTTCATTTTTAAATGAAAACCAGTTAAATTTACTTTTGCAGTGGAGTACTTAAAGACAGTAGTTTTCAGGGTTACTGATAAGTAGCTCTGAGCAACTTTAAAGATATTTAGATCCTCAGTTCCAAGGAACAAATCATTTGATTTTTTTTTTTTCTGGAGATATTATAGGCACAATCAGCAGATAATTTTATATACCTACCAGAATACTGATCTATATTTTTATATATTATCTTAGAGATCATTCTACTTCTTTTCAGTAGTTGCAAATGTTACATTTTAACTATATACCAAGTATATATTTTCTTTTTTTGCAGAACCGGGGATTGAACTCAGGCCCTTGCGCTTGCCAGGGAAACGCTTATTCCACTGAGCCATCTTCCCGGCCCAAGTATATTTTTTCAATGAACTATATTTTAACCAAAGCTTCTACTGATGGCCATTTAAATTATCCAGAATTTCTTAATATTTTAAAAGTGCTATAATAAGCAGTTTCTCACAGATCTATAAACTAAAGATGCAAATGCAGAATCATTTTCTTTTTTATTGCAGAACCGGGGACTGAACTCAGGCCCTACTGAGCTATTTCCCCGGCCCCTTCATTTTCAACTAAACCACTGACAAAATAAGAAGGGTAAAGTGACGAGAATATGGACACGAGATATAGATCGGCAGACTGGATCAAAAAGTTCAAGTTACATTACCAAGCCACAGTGACTTAAAAAAAAAAAAACCCCGAACACCAAAAATAATAAACTACCACAGTCCTGGTACAAATGAATCAATGGAACAGAACAGAGGATGCAGCAGCAACTGCAGACATATTCTGCCACCCGATCTGACAAAGGGGCCAAAAACACATTGGAGGAAACGTAGCTTCTTCACTTAGCGCATGGTGCTGAGAAAATCTGCTACACATAAGAAGATTGAGGCTAGACCCGGATATCAACATGTACTAAAATAAAAATGGACCAAAGATCTAAATACTATATAAACACAAAAACAACCTGTTGGAAAATAAAGTAGGTAAACCTCAGGGGGGAAGAAAAGAAACAGAAATCAAGTAATAACAAATGCTGGTGAGGCTGTGAGGAAAAAGAAACCTTTCCATACTGTCATTGGTGGAAATTTAAACTAGAAGAACCACTATAGGAAATCAGTGTGGAGACTGCTCAAAAGGGGAAAACTAGAAATTCCACTTGACCCAGCTATTCGGCTTTTAAGTACAGTTAGATACGGTATTGCACTGATATATGCATTCCTATGTTTATAACAGCACAATTCATAAACTAAGTCTTGGAAGCAGCCCATATGCCCACCAACAGAAGAATGAATAAAGATAATGTGGCATTCATATACAATGGAATACAACTCAGTTTAAAGAAGTATAAATCTTGAGTCACACAAACTTAAGAATCATATGGTTTTTCTCATAGGAAAACATCCTTAAGTATAAGTAAAAAGCAAAGCAAAAGATAGAAGGCCAACAGGGAGAAAGATCTATTGAAAATGGGCAGGAGACTAAGAGATGGAGGGAAGGAGAGGAGGGAGAGAGGACACAGAACTAAGACGTGTCATGTACGTGTACCATGTATGTACTCACTGATAGTGACTACAAATCACAAACATACTATATAAATAAATTTTTCATAGATATTACTAAATTGATCCCAAGAAGCTTTACCAAATCACAAGTGGCTATTAAAATTATGAATTTACCAATAAGAGGTAAGAAATGCTGTCACTTGTTGATTTACTTTGCATTTCTGTTTCCATTAAGGAAGTTAAGCATTGTCTAATTTTTCATATATGTTTTGATTACCTGTTATTCTAAGATGAATTTTAGAAACATTAGCAAAATAAGTCCTTCTGTTATATGAACACACATACATCCCATCTCATCCCAAAATATATATATTTTGTAGTTCTGGGGATTGAACTTGGGACCTTGTGCTTGCCAGGCAGGCACTTAATACTGCTGAGCTACATCCCCAGACCACAAATACGTATTTATTTCTCCAGTTTTTCACTTATTTTTGTAATGAATGGCAGTTTCTTTTTATTTAATAGATTTTACATCTATTATTGTTTGCTCTGAATATTAAACTTTATACTTTCTTCTATGTCAGGAATTAGAAAGGGGTGATCAAAGGACCAAATGCAGCTATTTATTTTTATAAACAAATTTTACTAGAATACACCAAACTGATTTTTGTTTGTATTGTCCATTTTAGCTTGTAGGATATGATACTGTATGACCGGAAAAACCTGAAATACTTATCTTGCCGTTAATAGGCTTGTAAATGCCTTTGTCTACTGGAAAAAGGGGAAACATTTCTTACGTTTTCTTACAGTACAATTTTTATAAATTCTTATCTACGAAACAGCTGGAATTTACTTTGGTCTAAGATACTGAACCACCTTTGCCTTTATTCAGTTATACCATACTACTGAAATATCCTCTCACTGATTTAAAAGGTTACCTTTTTCATAGGTTTACATTCCATTTTATTTGGTGGTAAAATTTATCAATTTTATTGCATATATTTAGGATCTATAATATGATGCTTTCATGATCCCCATTTTCCTTTATTTTGTCCATTTCTAGATTTTCTAGTATATTCCACTGATTTGGAAGGTTATATATTTTAAAATGAGAGTCAACTCAGAGTAATTGTTTTGAAAAGAAAAATATCAAACTGATTAAATTAAAATCTTGCATTTGGATCTCTACACAAATAAATAAAATGTCCAGGCTTTCCAACCTGATCTTTCTCTCTATGTATCTATGTATTGTTATAGAAGAGTGTACCAGTAAACTGACGTATAAATATGCCAGCACTTTCTAATTTCTTATAGGAAAGATCTTGCCTAGGTAATAACAAAAGGTCTTAAACTAAGAAACTACCATTATCACATATATAATAGTTCTCTCCAATACTACTTACTAATGTGCTATTTCATGCATTAGATATTAGCATAAATTGTCCTCAGTCATGAAACACAAAAAATGTTCTTTGTTACAACAGTTTCAAATGTATCAACATTTTTGAGACTACACCTTTGAAACTATATCAATTACATGTAGACTGGGAAGCAGTAATATAAAAGGAGGATGCTTCTCACCATCCTTCTGAAGCTGTGCTCCTGCTTCTGTAGCTGCTGTTGGAGCCACCACGGACACAGGCTGTAAAACACATACACACACCACAAAATCTTTAGCATTAGTCATTTTACCCTGTTCCTTTTACTCTGATCTTTCTGAAAAATGGGAGAAAATGAGTGTATGTGAGGGGAGTTTCTTTTATAACCTAAAAAGTCCAATGTAAAGAAAGGTATCTTATTTTAGCAAGAATTTTGAATCTTATCCTTTATTGCTTTTTCTCATAGAATACTTAAGAACATAACAGGGATTCACAGAAATTAGTTTAATCAAAACACTGTTGTCTTGCTGGGTGTGGTGGCGCATGCCTATAATCCCAGCACTTAGGAGGCTGAGGCAGAAGGATCACCATGAGCTCAAGGGCAGTCTAAACTATATAGCAAGATCCTGTCTAAAGCAAAACTCAAAATCAAAACAAACCATTTCTGTCTCAGAGTTTAGCCTCCTCCAAAGCACAAATAAAAACTCCACAGGATTAACCTGTGATAAAAACTAACTAGATGTATGACAAAAATAGGATCTTTTAAAATCTTTTCTATAAGGTTACACTTTGTGCTTCAGAAATACAACAGATTTGGGTTAGAGTCTATCAAGGTTTTAAAACACTTACACCACTGGCAGAGGTCACTGTAATAGTCTCTGGACTAAGTGTTCGCTTCAATTGAGCATCAAGATCTTCTAGAGGTTGCTGAGACTGAGCAGAAAAGTTACAGTAGATATAAATTCTTTGGCATCTTCAGAGCTACTACATATAGGCAATTTAAACAGGACATATATTTTATGCTACAGATTACGATGTAACATGTTTTCACTGACTATAATACATTAAAATTTAGTATAAAGCTTTGATAATCTGTGTCTCAAGATTATATGCCAGTTCTAACAAGCCATAGGGTATTCTAGCCACAATGTTGTGATTTGAAGCTTCATAGTCTTAGTTATACTTGATATTATTCAAAGTGACAGAAAATTTGTCTTCTGTTTTAAAATATATTCTGAAAAATACATCAAGATCTATTGGTAGATCAAATGCACCCAGGTTCCCTATTTTATTTCTCAGTTTTATATAACTTTCTGGGACCGATCCCTATGATAAGGGATAGAAATAATAGGTTTTGTCACAATCAAGTAACATTACTCTCCTCAGATTATATGATGTACCGTTCTATCCTACAGATGGCAGCAAAGGAGTCTGGACAGTGCCACACAACTCAGTGTCATACGCTACCTTTGTTGGTCTCTATTCTACCCTGGCTTCTATCAACCCATTCTTACATATTCTCACATAGCTTTACTTATGCTTTTCCTCACATATATAAGCATTACCGGGGCCTGCCCCTTAGCTCAGTTCTTTAAGTGGCTGCTTCAACAAAGCAGTCAGGCTCAGGTTGCTGTGGTTCGATCCCCACAACTCAAGCCTGCCAAACTTGCCCTGAAGGAATTCTGAGAAAAAAAAAAAAAAAAATCCTTATTCCATAAGCATTATCTACTTACTCTTACCCTTAATATTTTTCATTATATTTTAAACCTTCTTAGGAATTTGAATGCTTTTTGGGTTTGTTTTGATTTGAAATGAGGTTTCACTATGTTGCCCAGGCTGCCCTTACGCTCCTAGGCTTAAGTAATCCTCTTGCCTCAGCTTCCAAGTGCTGGAGGTACAGATGCATACCACTTGGCCCAGCTCTTGAATGTTCAAACTCTGAATTTAGATTTCACACTGGACTTCAAAAACTCATGGTTGGTAGAATGGGTTTGTTTCTTAAAGCATATATACTATAGCAAGTTCTTTTATTGTATTTTAATGAAAATCAGATCAAAGAAGGCTGTACTAGGCTTCCTGAGTAGGCAATCTGTCATCTTTTTTTTTTTTTTATGTGATTCCAAAATGAATTCCTGACTTAGTTACAAAATTTATTAGCTTGTCCTATGTCAGAAGCTTTTTTATGGGTACCATGGATTCACAACAAGTATTTTTCTATATGTCTTCAATTATGTATGTTGGTAATGGGACAGGGCAAGAAAAGGATAATTTAAGCAGGTAGTTCTGACTACCACTGCACTCTAGGAGTATGAGAAAGGAGTCTCAAGTTCACATTGCAGGTCTCAGTTCCTCTGATTAATTCTAATTATCAATGTTTTCTAAATCAATATTCTAAACAAAAGAAGTATGAAGCTTCTTATTTTATTTAAGTCATGTCTGTGACATTAGCTACACTGTTTCTTAAAAGAAAGGTGTTACTGAGTACATGTGAAAAAGGATCCAGAAGCCAAAATCATGCAATGGAGAATTCAGACAAGTATTGTAAAAGAAAGTAAGGGCATAGAAAGAAATCTGCCTTATCTTGGGGCACCTGAGTTAGTGAAGGTCCAGGAAAAAGTGGCAGGTGCTCACTGGATAGAGTACTAGCAGAAAGTTCAGTACCCACTGACAGCACCTATGGACAATGGAGGGAAATTTAAGTCCATGAGACATTAATAAAATACTATATTGCTAAAGAGCACATCAACTAATTTGAATGGAGAAGCCTAGGAATAAAATGTTATCTAGTTAAATTGTATTATCATATAGGTTACACTCTGGTAGGTCCTCAGTAAAGAACATTATAACCAATGGTATTATTCTATGGGCTATTATGAAATACCAATGAAATGAATAACACAGAGTAAAAGGTTATTCCCTAGGGAAGAGAAAAAGGATAGTCTATATGCACATTATAGGCAAAGCCCAGGCTTTTGGGGATGGGGCACTATTGTGAATTCTATGTAGGGCTTATACACTTACGTATATCTACCATCCTTTTTATTTTGAGGCAGAGTCTTGCTAGTCCACTAAGTTGCTCCTGCCTCAGCCTCCCAAGAGCCCTGGTATTACAAATGTGCACTATGACACCTGGCCAGTCTAAATATTTTTGAGCCATTTATTTGATATAAAATCATCAGGCTTTTGAGAAGAAAAGACAATTCTAAGAAAACAAAGGTTGGATCAGAAATAACCAAAGGATAGGTCTGACAAAAAAAGACAAAAAATCTGGTAATACAAAGTAATTTTCTTTTTGAGTAATAACTCTATTTTAATGGTCTCTGACTTATGGCTCAACTTAAAAATTGATTTTATGATGTTGCAAAACAGGTAATAAACTTAATAGGAAGCTGTTTATAAAATTAAGAAAAAAATTAGGTTGGGGGAAGGTTATTCTGAAGAAAGGGCTTATTTCAATAACTGGGCTCAAGTGACTCTCCCACCTCTGTACTGAGCTACATTCCCAGCCCCTTTTTTTGTCTTTTTAAAGACAAGTTCTCACTAGGTTGCTCAGTTGCCTGGACAGGGATTAGACTTAAGATCATTCTGCCTTAGCCTCCTAGAGTGCTGGGATTATAGGGAATGAACCACTATAAAATTTTTAATTTTTATCTACTCTCCAGCAAATAAAATATGGTATATCTTTTATGATGCTGGACAGTGACAGCAAGCCACAGCTTTGTCAGTCACTGTCACAAAGACAACTGATACCCTACTGTGTTCAGTGTTGCTAAGTTACAATGTTCAATTAGATTAAGTGTAATAAATGCATTTTTGACTTCTGCAATTTTATATTTCAGGATGAGTCCATAGAGACTTAACCTACTTAAAGTTGAGAAACGTCTATATTACCCGACTGTGAAAACAATAATGCAAAAACAGGTAAACCATATAAATCGGTAGATATAATAAGGACTTGTTAGTTTTGGAGATTAGAGAAGTTGAAGAGAGCAAAACGAGAAGATATCCAACACAGCAGAATTAGAAACAGTCTAGTTATTTCATCCTAAAATTAGATAATTTTCTGTATCTCTATAGTACTTTCAATAATTTAAAAATAGCAAACTGTGCATGTGCAGAATCTATCAAAAGCAGAAAATGTGCTTCATTTTCAGGTGAAATATGTGGTGAACTACTGTTACTATGGATATTGTGTCAACAGATGCTTTTAGCTTTCTTCTAGGGTAAAGATTTCTTTGATTTATCCCAATTTTAAGGAAATGCCTGTATTTGACATGAAAATTACATATTCTTAGGAAACTGCAATATTAACCCCTAACATCTGCCATAGCTTAAAAAAAGAAAAATCTTGTGTTCAAGATACATAAATTCATTTTTAAATGTATTTTGTGCAGGGTCTCACTATGCAGCTCAGACTTGTGGTCCTCCTGTTTTTAGCCTCCCCAGTGCTGGGATTACAGGCATGTGTCACCATGCCCAGTTTTGGTGGCTGGCTCTGCTGGCCCAGGGGAAGGGCTGGCATGGCAATGTGGTACCAGGGATCAAACCCTGGTCCCTGTGCTTGGCTAAGCAGGCACTTAGTCCGCTGAGCTATCTCACCGGCCCAAGACACATAAATTCTAAAATTACCATCAATTTAACATCGAGTATATTTATTATTATATTACTTCCAAGGCTGATTTGAAGAATGCAATTAGGTGGAAAAAAAAGGAGTGCCCATATTAACCTAATTATTTTGAAATAATCTTACCGGAGCCTTGGTTAAAGGTGGTTTTGAGGGAGCAGCTCCGGGTTTCACTCCTGATGCTGTGCTGACTGTGGCTGAAACACAGCTCCCTGGGGTAGAAACTTGCCCAGGTGTGACCACTGGTATAACTGACAAACCAGTTGTTCCTAATGGTAAATTGGTTGGTGGTAAGCAAGTACTTGTAGTGGAAGTCATGAGTTTGCTTGGTGCGATAGCAGTGGTTGGGATGCCTGGTGTGACAGTGGTCTCTACTACTAGTGATGTTTCTAGTGAGACAGAGGCATGCTGAGTTCCAGAGGAGCTGTGTTCGCTAAAGAGAGACCGCAGCTTTTCCTCTAGAGTTTTTATGTCATCAATCCCAGGAGCTTTGGGCTGGGTATCAGTATCTATTTCTGGACAGTGGGTATGGGGCTGGTTGAGAAGCAAGGCTGGCTGGGGCTGACTATGAATGAGTGTCTGCTGTACAGCTGGCACACTGGAAATAGGTTGGACCAAGGGTGGGATACTAGGGACTTGAGGTAATAAAGGTACAGAAGCAGGAACTGCTGCCTGGGGAAGGACAGGCGTAGATGCTACAACTGGTGGGATGGTCAAAGGATGCAGTCCACCAGGCTGAGAAGTAGAACTAGCCACTCCTGTTCCAGGGGAGGAAGAAGATGGTGCAGAGAAGGGCAATGCCAACCCAGCTGTACTGCTATCAAGTGTTTTGTCTAATGAGTGTGCACTAACCACTACTGTTTCAGCTGGAGCAGAAGCAGAGGTGCTGCTGCTGAGCTGAAGAGACGGTTGTGAAAGGATGCTTGTGAGTGGAGTGGTAGCAGAAACTGAGGCTACCCCCGCAGTACTACCTACTGCCTGCTGAGATAAAACAGTTGGAGGCTTGGCACCTGAGGCAGGTGTACCGCTTAAGACAGAGGCTGAAGTCGTTGAAACTGTTACAGAAGGAAAAGTGCCTACACTAGGAACAGTGCTCCCAGATGTGGAAGCCTGAACCGGCTGGGATGCTGCAGGCACCGAGACAACTGTAGGGACAGCAGTGCTTGACACCACACTAGAGGGTACTGGCGACTCAGACACAGGTGGTTCAGAAAGACCACTTGAAGTTACTGCACTTGTGCCGGTGACAACTCCAGCAACCCCCTTTTCAGTGGGCACTATAACCTCAGGCGGTATTACTGATGTGGAAATGCCATTATGAGGGCTGCTTGTTATAGGGACTGACACTGAAGATGTGGGTGCTGTAGTGGTTGGAGGGCCTCCAGCAGCACTACCAAAGAAAGGAGAAAATGTTGGTCCTGTTTGACTAAAGTTTGGGGGTGCTGTACTGGGTCCTTCAGTCATCTGAGTGCGTTTAAGTTCAGAAAATGCCTGCTGGAGACTGAGGGATGAGGCAGAGTGAGATAAATTCATTCCAGGGCCCTGAGATGTGGAGGCAGCAACTGCAAAGAAAAGCAAGCATGTATGAATCAACCCATTTAAACTAGACAGACTTAAGATTTTTTTTTTTTTTTTTTTTTTTTTTTTGCGGAACTGGGGATTGAACTCAGGCCCTTGCGCTTGCCAGGCAAGCACCTATTCTACTGAGCCATCTCCCCAACCCCTAGACTTAAGATTTTTGTAATAACCTATTACTAGACTGCTAACAATGCCATATAGCAACAAGGTTTAAAAATTTCCCAAGGAAACAACTGGCTCTAAAACAGCAAAGTCAAATAGTAGTTTGATTAAATAAGTCAATTTGTATGAGTATTTTTGGAAAACAAACAAACAAACATGGAGTAACCTGAAAATGTGTGTGGTTCTAAATTCAGCAATAAATACATACTACAGTATCTACTTCATTATAGCTAGTACAGCTGACATTTCCTCTAACCCTATTTATCTATTTCCTTCCTCTGCATCTGTTAGTTAGAGCTGCTATAGGATTTATGTAAATATGGCAGAATCAGTCTTTACCTGTATCTGGTATTTCACTGGTGAAAACTCTGGATTCTCGTAACCGACCTTCTGGCACAGGACTTACTATAAATCTCCTTCCAGCTGAATGAACGACTTGAGTTAAAGAACTAGCAGGGGGAACACCTAGACAAAAGGAAGGAAACCACTTAACTGTACCACTATCACATGTACTGGTAACAGCACACACGTGGTTTCATTGCTGGTGCACAAAACTTAAAGGTTAAAAGCAAGGAAAGAAAGAAATTCACCTATTTGCTGTGGCATGGAAGATGCAGGTATTGGTTGTTTGAATTCTCCTTCCAATTTCTGCAAAAAACAAAAGTAATTAAGGCACATCATCACATGTGAAGAGAACCTGAGTGCTTGTTCTCTGTCACAGATGTAATGTGTGATCAGTACATATTTTGCATGGTAAATTTAGCACTACATAAATAGTTCAAAAGAAAAACCAAAGCTTTACTATGTGAATGGTGAGCCTACCTGGGAACCTGAAAGGCCATATTCATCCTTTCCCTGGAGACTCTCCAGTCCCTGATCACCCTCTGGCTCCACACTGACATCTTCACTCAGCATTTCATCAGCTTTTTCAATAATTTCCCGTACTTGATCCACAAAAGACTCTCTCTCTATTGCTAGAATAAAGTCATTGTTCACCTATTAAAGAAATGTGATGATTAGCATGGTGTGTTAAGATTTAAGTCATCCATCTATCGCTTTTGTAACTTCTAGTCTACCTGCACGTCTACTCTATTATTTATTGGTATTTAAGTCAGCTCTTAACTCTTTTTTTTTTTTTTTTGTGGAGCCGGGGATTGAACTCAGGTCCTTGCACTTTCCAGGGAAGTGCTTATTCCACTGAGCCATTTCCCCAGCCCCAACTCTTAACATTTTTAAGAACTTCAACACTTAGATACATCCTAGACAAAAAACATCTCGGGACTGGCTGTTCTCATTATAGTCATACTAGAATAAAGACATACTTGCCTAGATAAACATGGGTCACAAAACATGGACAGCTACCTAGGTAAATGGATATTCAGATCAAGTACTAGAGCAAAACTGTAACTCCAAATGTAACCTACCATAATTGTTGCTATCTCCTCAGGGTTGTCACCATCTAGGTCAAACTTGAATGTAACCATTTTCCGATTATGAGTCTCTAATTGACATTCTACTACCCGGTCTCCTTTATTTGAAACCTAAAAAGAGAAAGAGAAAATATTTCATTTCAAAAGAGTATCTTTAGCTTTATCACTGAATTTGACAAAAGTTACTCAGGTTATTACGCAAAATTTGTTATGATTTGTATCTATGTGTTCACCCAAAGCCTCATGTAGTCACTGGAGCAGGGTTCTAGAGTTTGTGATTAATTCAGGATCCAATGCTGGGATTATGGGTCTGAGTACAGCTGGGACTATAAGTGTGAGCGCTACACCCACCCTGAGGCAGTTAACCTAAATGCAACATAAGGAAGACTTGCTCTCTGTAGTCATTGCTGCCGCTGTTCCTCCCATTTGCTCTTGCTGTTTCGCTGTTTTTCACTGCCATGAACTGCTGCTCTCTGCCACATGCCAGTCTGCCTTGGAGCCAGCTGAGTATGGATTGAAACCGCCACTAACTGTGAGCTAAACAAACTTTTCCTTTGGGTGTTTCCTTAATTTTGCGAATTTTGTCCCAGCAACCAAAGAAAGGTAACTGAGACAAAGTCTGAAGTAGTAGTGTCATCACTGTTCCCTCCAGCACTAATAGTACATTAATACTCTTTTAAACTGATAGAAGGGTCAGGGAGATGGCTCAGTAGAATAAGTGCTTCCCTGGCAAGCGCAAGGGTCTGAGTTCAATCCCCAGTTCCAGGAATAAATAAATAAATAAATACCAAACTGATAGCAAAAAAACTCCCAATAACAAAAGAATCCATAAAGACCCTATGAAAAGGCAGGGGAGATAGCTCAGTGGTCTAAGCGCCTGCCTGGCAAGCTCACGGTCTTGAGTTTGATTACAGGTACCAAAAAATCATAAGAAATGAAATCTACTTCTCAGCTATGTATTTATCTTCCACTAGAGTCTAAATGGAATGTAGTCTTTTTTTCTACAAACTATTCTTTTTCTAAAAGGTAAATACTGCCAGGTATGGTGGTACATGCCTATAGAGACACTGAGGCAGGAAGATTACCATTTCTTGGAGGCTAGTCTGGGCTACATAAGCAAGATTCTGTCTCAAACAAGTTAAACCATAAACAAACAACCAAAAGGTAATGGTGACTCACCAAAGAATTATGGAATTTAAAAATATCATTCAGGTAATCAAAGGATCCTATCTAAATTTTGATCTATTTGCTTAAGACTTAAGAATTATTAAATGATATTAATTACTGACCCTATTACTGCTTGATGAATTGTATTTTCAGTTTTTCCCCCACATGAAAAATGTGATACTCAATTAACTGGGCCCCCATGCAGATTAAAAGAGAACAGTGCCCCATCAATTACGTAAAACATAAAGATATCTTTATTTTATAAAATGCTTGGATTGGCTTTGACAGTCTTTAAAATTCTCTGGAGTGCCAAATTTCTTTAACATTACAGAGGGCAAAAATCAACACTACTTACATTTAAAATTCTTAATTTTGGGCGTGTAGTCTTTTCATGACGAGAGCGACTTCTTACAGATTTTCGATAATGCCGCTTTGCTGTTCTCCCTTCATGCCTCCCACTGGATGATGGGGCATTCTCATTGCCATCACTCATACCTGAAGCAACGTCCGAATGTGCACTTTGGATAAAAGAAGTTCCGTTTACAATATACAGTGTAAAGGTCTGCTATTTTGAAGTTTCATACCATCCTACTTACATACCTGTCTATAGAGGAAACCAAAGTGACAGGCTGGGTAGGCTGTGGCTGTGCTGCTGGAAGTGGCTCGTGGGGAGCAACCTGAGAGACTCCCTGAGTACTCTGTAAATGGAAAGAATAATTCAAATCTTGGGGATAATATATTGTATTCATCATTTAATATCCCAATAAGCTCCCTTTACCATTTTTCCCCTTTGTATCCCTCCCTCAAGACCTAGAAGCAGTAAATTTACTCACTAGTAAATTTCAATATTAAGCATCTATAGACAGTGATCTTAAAATTCCAAAAGAAGTTTCTAAAGCTATTTTGTGAGACTGCATGGTGTGAGATCAGCCAACCTAAGTGCTAGGCAGTGGGAAACTAACAACTTGCCATGCAGCCAGCATCTTACCAGAAGTGTGCAACAGGGTAGGCAGAGCAAAGTGCAAAGATGAACTCAGATCTTTCTCCTAGTATGGCAACAATGACTGCTGAGAGCACATCAGGCTGATACTCTTATGACTACCAATGGCAAGAGTTTGTGGAAGGATAAGAATAATGGCTAAAGTACTAGCTAGAGAAGTGAAGTGCTAATAGGATCCATCTCCAAGGCACACTCACTTCCCAACAGAACAGCCAGTGGCAACAAGGGCCCCACATTGGCATTTCATTCTGCTGGAAGAAAAAGTCATTCAGAAGTTAGTTTGACACAGTTTTAAATGAGTTCTAAACCAGGGAGCCTACATTTCTCCTGTCATTTTACATTTTTATCCCATTTATGTATGTTTCATATAAAACATGCAACAGTTTAATTTACCTCTAGAACTGCTTGCTGGGAGGATGTAGTGGGGGGTTGTGCTAAACTCGCTGCTGGTTGGGACACTTGAACCTGTCCTCCTACACCGCCCACAGGAACCAAAAGATTTGATTCCACGTAAGGCTGCACCACAGTAGGAAAGTAAGCTGGTGTAGCCAATGCTTCTGTTGGCATAGGAGGGGATAGAACTGTAGAATGGATGCAAACAGAAGCTATGTTGGAAGAGGGAGCAATATTTGAATCTCCTGGGTATTGTGGTGGCAGTCGAGGAGGAAAGCCCTGTGACAGAGATGAGGAAGGTGAGTTAGTGCAGGTTGGGCGATCAAATTAGCAAATCAGCAAGATGTGCCAAAAGGCAGGGGTGGGGGAGCTTAGCAAAGAATATTCTCTTACTAATAGAATAAAGAACACTTAAAGATTATTCTTGAAATGGTAGGTTAATTCCAATCTGGGGACAGTACTCAATAATCATACCTGTACTTGCTAGTTTTTGCTCCCTTCCTCCCTGGAGATTTTCTTTTGGAAAGGACTGGGGGGCATGAGATGGTGTTACTATGTAGTCCAGTCTGCCTTTGAACTTGAAAGTGTTCTGCTTCAGCTCCCTGAGTGCTCAGATTACAAATATGTACCTATGCCCAGTTTGAAGATTGTGTGGGACTGATAGACTTAATTCCTTCTAGAAAGGAATCTACTTTCTAGCTAATCTTACATGAAGAATGTAGGTGTAAGTCCATTCTAGTCTTATTACAAAATGCTCATCTTCTTAGGGCCAGCTGAATAGCTCAGTGGATTAAAGCACCTGCAAGCAGGCATAGGGGCCAGGGATTTAATCCCTGGGCCTGCCGTGCCAGCCCTGCCTCTGGGGTGCGCTGAGATGGCAATTGAGACTGGGCTGGGTAGTGCATGCCTGTAATCTCAGCTCTTGGGAGGCAGATCACTATGAATTCAATCTAGTAGTGAGATCCTGAATCTGAATACCCTGTAGACCCTTCCCTAAAATACCCCCCACCAAAAAAAAGCTCATCTTCTAAACCTAAACCCTGAAGTTTTGTTGATACTGTATTGCCTACTTTATGCATGTCACCTACATATAAAAATGCAGCCTGGGGGCCGGGGAGATGGCTCAGTAGAATAAGTGCTTCCCTGGCAAGTGAAAGAGTTCAGTCCCCGGGTTCCACCAAAAAAAAAAAAAAAAAAAAGAAGCAGCCTAATGTACTGTTATTAACTATATTTAGGATTCTGTCAGTTTACAATGAATATGCAAAGTATCATTTTCTCTTAAGTTGCATCTCAAGAAAAATGGATGAGTTATCATATATCATCACTTTATCTTTTCTCAGAATTTTACTGTGTTAGCTTCTCTAATTGAGATCAGCAATTTTGGTTGTTAATCTGATACTCAGCTGCTAGGTTTTCAAGTTCTTGATAGTCTGACTCTCTAATGCCCTCTTTTTTTGCTAGTCAAAACAATACCTGGTAGAGAACATCTCCAGAGGGAAGTGGAACCTCAGCAGCTTGTCCAAGGTTAGCTGGTATTCCCATGGACTGAACTGCTGATGGCAGGAGCTGCGGGTGAACCTGACTTGGCAGCTGAGTCACAGGCTGCAGAAGAGTTGGAAGCTGACTAGGAACCACAGTTGATGCCCCTGGGATTGTAGCTGATGTAGCAGATGAAGCCAAGGTGAGCAGAGGCTGATTAATGCCACCTGCCATTGTGACAGGAAGGGATGAAAAACCTGTTTGAGCCGTAGACACATGAGGAGTTGATATGGAAATCTGAGAAGCAGAGTACTGTGGGAGTAAAGAAGTGGGAAGTGGCTGTCCCATAGGGAGAAAATGAGCACCAGAGTGGACTGGAACAACTGAGGGTTGTGTCGCAATTGAGATCTGAGGTTCGCCTTGGACAGTTGGTACTGGCTGGGAAACTGGAAGCTGGGAAAGTAAAGAAAAACAAAACAGACTTTTTTTTAAAAGCAAGGCTGCCAAAGCAAGAATTAAGTTTGAGCTAAAAGGAAGGAAACAAACAAAACCCTACATATATTAGTGTAAGTTAATATGCCACATTAAGAATAGGGAAAGGACAGCAGGAGAAAAAGACTAGTAAACTGGCTTCTGCTCTAAACCTTGCACTGTCAAAAACTGCTAATGTTTCATCACTGACAATAAAAATAAGTCCTCTCCATAGGCAACTGTTGTTGTTGCTGTTTTTCAAAGCTTTCTTGGCATGCACTTCATATACCATAATCCACTGGCATATTTGTTGTCACTAAAACTGTGACTGCTATTCCAGTGGTTAATGAAATTCAAATGAAATTTCTTTTTTTTCCCCCATAATTTTATTGATAAACAAATAGCAATGAGACAGTTTCAAATCAAATTGGTAGGACAGTTTCAATAATTCACACATTGCATACATTCTTCCTAGTGGTTAATTGCCGTACAAGATGTGGACATGATATCCTATTTACAAACACCATTAGAACAAATCCCTCTATTCATTAAGAGAATGTAACTATATATCTATCCTAACCACTCTGAATACACAGATATAAAATGGACATTCATCTGTATCCCCTTTTTTTGTTAAGTTCTATTATTTGAATGTTATAGGTGTGTAAACTCAGCAAAATATTCTAAAAGAGTCCAGTAGCCCATAATAGTATTAGGTCTTCCGCTTGACTGGCAATGTCAGAAATTGTTGACCTGAGTCCCCTAGAGCTCAACATAACAGCATGGCTTTACTTCTTATATTTCATTTTTATACTTTTCTGCTGGATGGTTAAGACCAAGGTAAAGCAGGACCTATGAAATTTCTTCATTTCAGTAGGACTCATCCTTATTACATCTACAATTCTTAGGTTTAACACAGCTCTCTAAAAGCAGGTGTATAATGTATACCATGAATTCTGTGACAAAGTCATCCCTGTCACTTGAACATTTGAGAAACTGGAATATTTCTTATAATTGATCATGTGTCAGTGTATACTCATTGGTTCACAACATAACAGTGCACTTCACAGGCAATAGTATTTAACGTATGATGAAATATAACAGTAACAACACACTGTGCACGTGCAATCACAGTGAGGCCCACAGATAAAACTGAAAAGAGGTCATTCAAAAAAGCATACTTCCTGCATGGTACGTTTCAAGTGATTAGAACTACTTAAACAAACAAACAAACAAACAAACAAAAACCTATCCCACATAAGGAATTTGACAGTTTGACTGTCAGTTTACAATGAGAGAAGAAACAAAAGAAATCTACATGAAAATAATGCATAATTGCAAACCTACAACATTATACAATTAACCACTTCCAGAGAACTGTGACCTGTGGGTTCAGGTACCAAAGCAACATTATTTAACCCATTAATTGTAATACCTATTTTATACTGATAACCCTAAAAGTAAAATATTTTTAGGTTGTCATTGATGTCATTATGTCTTCATTTACATTAAATGATACATATGTACAAATGAAAAAATTTTTATATTTTGTGAGATTAACCAAGTTCAATAACTATTTCATTATTAGAAGAGTAGAAGTTTATCTATAAGAAAGGAAAAGTTACATGGAGATTCCTTTTAGCATTTTTTCAGATAGCAAGAGTTTACCTGTTTTCCTGCTGATGCCTGAGGCAAGACCTGTGGAGCTTGAGGATGACTCACTGGCTGTGTAGTAGTGGCCTCACTGGAGATTGCTGTCTGTGTAAGAGAATACTGTATTGTCTGTTGAGGAAGGGCTGTCTGCTGTACTCCCTGCTGCTAAGAATAAAACATAATGATTCAGTTGTTTTTGTTCTTTTGCTTTTGAGTTGGGTCTCACTATATTGTCCAAGCTGGCTCCAATCTCCTGGGCTCAATCTGTTCTGCTGCCTCAGCCTCCTCAGCAGCTGGCCTATGGGCATTCACCACCATGTATGGCTCATGATTCACTTTTATTTCAAAGCACTAACAGAATGTTTCTAAGGAATATAATTAAATAAAGCCTTCAATATTTGTAAATAGTGGTAATTTTAGTAATTTAGAAATGCAAATTCATTAATTTCCCTTACATATCTGTTTTCCTCTAAATGTTCTCTGTGCAAATACCAGAGAAAACTCATGTTCCCTCCGTATGTTTTCCTTTAGCATTCTTTATGATGCTATATTACAATTAAACGCTGTTCCAAAACTTGAGTCCCCACTAGTCCTTTACCCAAAATCACCCTCACCCAACAGCAGGCCTGTGAGAGATATTTAGATAGCATGTCCAAACAACTTCCTTACAATTACTTTTATAGCTACAAAACAGCAAGAAAAGTATTGAGCTTTGAACAAATAGTTTCAAATTTTAGCTTTACTGCTTAATAACTGTAATAACACTGCATGTTACTGCACAGTAAGATTGCTTGTTTACTAGAAAAATGAAATTTTTTTCAAAATAACACTATCAATCTATTCAAAGTGGGATAAAAGAAATGACATCTGGAAATTAAGATAAGTACTGACATGCAATTACACCCAAATACTAAACTTTGTAATAAATCAAGCAAATAAAATAGGAGTACCACTCGAATATTGAAGCCCCTCTTTTCCCTAACAAAATTCTGAACCTTATAGATGATTTTCAAGACTCCAATAATTATAACTAATTTAGTTTTTTCTCTTTAAATACATACTAACACCTGCTTATACATTTTTAATCTGTATTTCTAATTATAAAGTTAAATTAAAATACCCTAATGGACTATTGGACTATATTGGATTATTTTGCTGAATTTATACACCTACAATATTTAAATGGAAATGGAATACCCATCTCTGACAAAACTAAACAAAAAAGGGGGATATAAATGAAGGACCATCTTGTATCTGTATATACAAAATAGGATAGATATACAGTTACTTTCTCTTAACTCAATGAGAAGAAAGATTTGTACTAATAGTGTCTGGACAGGATATCATGTCTGCATCTTGTACTATTGACTAACTACAACGAAGACAACAATACGCAATGTATTAATTATTGTAACTGTCCTACTAATCTGTTTTGAAACTGTCTCATGGCTATTTGTTTCTCAATATTAATAAAAAACAAACAAAACAAAACAAAAAACACCCTAATCCTATTCATGGCTTGGTACATCACCTTTATGGATTTCTCTCTAGGTATTAGTGGTGTATTGTATACACAGGTATATTGTTATTGAAACAAATAAAACAAAAACACACCCATCTCATAAACAGTAATCTGCAAATAAAGAACATTTGGTTTTTTGAATTTTTTTTTCCTATTTAAAATAATGCTCTAATAGCATTTTATTTGTGTCCTGGTACATACATACAACAAATTGGTTACTGCTTGTATAAAGACAAGTTATTTATCTTGTCTTTATCACATATATACTCACCCTAATGTGTGTCTTGGATTTAAGATTCTTCTTAATTTTAATTTATTATTTTATTTTGTCTTATATTTTGTTGATATAGTAGCCCCCTTGCTATTTTGTGGTTCGACTTTCGCGGACTCACTATTTTGCAGGTTTTCAGAAAATATTAATCTATATTAATTTTTTTTTTTTTTTGGCAGAACTGGGGATTGAACTCAGGCCCTTGCGCTTGCCAGGCAAGTGCTTATTCTACTGAGCTATCTCTCCAACCCCAATCTATATTATTTATTGTGGATTTTTTTCTATATTGTAGGATTTTGCAGTACCATACAGTATACATATATTGGTTTTTTTTTTTTTTGCGGAACCAGGGATTGAACTCAGACCCTTGCGCTTGTCAGGGAAGCGCTTATTCCACTGAGCCATCTCCCCAGCCCCATATATTGTTAAAATCACATAAATTTACAAGTTTAGAAAATGATTAAGAATAGTAGCAGTGTTTTTAAAAGTGTGGAAAAGGTTTATAAGTGTGGGAAGGGCTTATAAAGCCTTAAGATATATACATAAATGCTAAAATATAACTTTGCTACTTCACTGATTTTCACTTATTGAGTGGGTGTCTGGAAGGTAACCTCTGCAATAAGTGTGGGACCACCATTAGGGCCTCGCTACACAGTTTGGACTGCTAGTGATCCTCCTGCCTCAGCTTCCCCAGTGCTGGGATTATAGGCAGGTGCCATCATTCCCAGCATGGTGTGCCTGAGATTTCTTGGGCAGGCACAGCGTGCGGTACCCAGGATCTAACTTGGAACTGGCACTTGCCAGGCAGGTGCTTAGACCACCGAGCTATCTCCCCAGTCCTGTTTAATTATTCCTGATAGTATATTCTTACTTTACCATTCAGGAATGAATGACTGTTGAACTATATAAAAGCTTTCCCCCAAAATGAAGATAACACATGTTAATGCTAACTCTGAATATCAGACCCTTACCTTATTTTCCCATTGAAAAGGAGGAACTAAAAACCAGACATTTTTCTGCCAACATAAACACATTTGAACATTAAGGAATGTGAATATGTACAATTATCTCTTTCATTATTTTTTTACTTAATTAGATCAGTTACATAAAATGTATTAATTCAAAAACACTGTTCCCCTTCCCTGGAACTCTTTAAATGTAAGACACCAACATTTTTATTTTCCCTCTATGGGTGCTCTGGCAGTTTCCCAGCATAACAAAGCACTTTCCCTTTAAGTTGTCCTGATGTAGAATTTGAAGTGGTAAGTATCTGTTTGGGCATTATAAGTTTAGGTGGACTTTTTTTCATCTATTTTGTAAGTATATATTTATGTAAAGTTTGTATAACTTCTTAAAAGGATCTTTAAACAAATTATCTGTAACCATATACAGATCGAAACATGGTGGCACACACCTATAATCTTAGCACTCAGGGAGCTGAGGCAGGTGGATTGTTACAAGTTTAAGGCCAGCCTGAACTATACAGTACGGCCCTGTCCAAAAAGGGAGGAGAAAGGAGAAGGGGATACACACACCCACACATACATGCACGCATATGGATTAGTGAAGCCATATCTCTAAGAGTAGGGACTTTGTTTTATTTGATGTCATTAACATTTTGATGGCTGTTCAAAATAAAGGACAATGAGATTTCTGTAATATAAGAGTATAAAGATTTGAATACATGGAAATTTTCTTCTAAGAAATAAATATAAAGGGAAAATATCCCACATAATACTGTATTAGGTGATTCAATAATCATAAAATCCCTATTCTTTCCCAGTCTCATCAGTTTATAATCATGCTCACATCAAAAGTTGGATTCTTATTAACTCTTTCTTGAACTTACATCTTTATATATCTTCATATTTTATACCAAAGTAAATGCATATCTGTTTCCATACCTTTTTTTTTTTTTTTTTTTGGAACAGGGAATCAAACTTGCCAGCCAGACACTGTGCCACTGAGCTGTATCCCTGACCTATGTCCCTTACTTTTTTTTAATCTTTTGAGTCTTTCACCTTTGCTCTTTCCCCCTTTAGGCCTGGAATAATTCTTTATTTTTTCATCTGAATCTAACTTACAATCAATGTCTAATATATCATCACTTACATATAAAGTCTTCCAATAACTCCCTTCTACTCAGGAGATGTTAATTTCTTTCCCTTTGGCACATAATTGGGTAGAAGTTAAACTTTGAGCTGTAGTCAGACTATTGTCTGACTTTTTTTGTTTGTTTGGTGGAACCGGGAATTGAACTCAGGCTCTTGCGCTTGCCATGTAGTCAGACTATTTAAGGTCTTTTTACTTTACTTTTTTATAAGCCACAATATAGGTTTAGGGTAAGTTGCTCAAACTTCTCTAGGTCTCAGCTTCCCATTAATAAAATGGAAATAATGACACTATATTATAGGATTTTCATAGGGACTAAATAAAAACAGGTAAACTGCCTTGCACATTGTATATATTAGCTACTCTCCTTATTTGTTTTGCGGAAACATACATATATGTTTACTACATTATTTAGGTTCACTGAGAGCAGCCAGTACCTAGCCCATCTTGATTAATCCACAGTACTGGAAATCAGAAAGAAAAAAAACATCAGTTTAGTTTTGGATGGAGGGAGTAAGACTAAAGGACTGCAGAATGTATTTCCTTGCTCTTTGCTTACAGTAAATGATAGGTAGGTATCTATGTCAATGACACTTCTGGGTAGGACAAAAAAGCATGAAGACCTGCTTATGCTAATCGACACCATGGCAGCTAAGAGGTATGGTTTCACACAGCAGCCTAGCTTAGGATTTGCAGAAATTTACTTCATGAAATAAGTTCAAGCTGTTTTCACTATGTATCATCTGTTGGACATGGCTGCTTCACATAAAACATATATGCTCCTCAGCTGCATAGAAAAAGAATACCTGAAGATTTTACAGCAGTGATGAAGAACCTTCAGGCTTTCGATGACACAAACAGCCTGCTATCGCACACATGCCATAGGTTTGCCACTGTTGTTCTACTGGTACTCTTACAGAAAAGAATAACTTATAAGGATAGCTCACAGCCTTGCTTATGACCAAAAGTTTCCCAGTTGAAGACAGTTATTTTTAGCACAATATTAAGATACAGTATACACCGTAATTTTATTTATTTTTTTTGGAAGGATCCAGGGATTGAACTCAGGCCCTTGTGCTTGCCAGGGAAGTGTCTATTCTACTGAGCCATCTCCCCAGCCCCTATAACTGTAACTATCTGAGGGCAGTATTGAGCCCAAGGCGCACTAAGCTGTATCCCTATCCTTTTTTAAAATTTAAAAAATTCAAGACATTGTCATGCTAATAAGTTGCCCAGCCTGGCTGTGAACTTGTGATCCTTCAGCTTCAGCATCCTGAGCAGCCTCAATGATAGGAGTGTACCACCAAAACTCTTGAGATTTGTTATTATACTGGTAGTATAGAAATTGTTTGAAATAGTTAATAAATACTCAATTATGGAAAAACATTATTTCTTTGCAAATTATTACTGTTACCTAATATCAGTAAGAAACTATATTTAACTTTAAAATGACCAGTTTGGCCACATATATAAGAATCAACATTAATCTCTTGAGTTTCTTGTATTTTTTCGAGCAGACCACGCAAATGAAAAATTTGCTTCCAGTCTTTTGGCAGTAGTTGTCCTTAAGCCTTTCATTCAATACCTTGTAGCATACAATCTGGTACTACATCCCAAATAGTAGAAATAATTTACAAAGAATTTAGGATTAAACTCAGGCAATGAAAAAAATGATAAAGTGCTCATATGTAGACAAGTCATAAACATAAGTAGAAACTGATGTCTTTCTTATGTGCATAATCAGTTAAAAAGGCAGATAATTTGTATCAGTAACAATGATTCTTTTAAAACGTGGAGGACCAGCAGGTAGGTGACTGTCATTGAAAGAACAATTATCTCCATTTTTGGTGGAATCTAACCCTATTTCCACATATTGATTACATGGAAATTGGCTAGGACTTTTCCTTATTTCTTTAATTGGCTTAGAGCAATGCACTTCTGTCCAGCTGAGATGCTGATGTACATAGTCTTTGAAGGTGACAGACACTATTTCCTTGTAACGTTGTTTCCCTGTGTAAGCTGGGATGAGGCAGAATGAAGAGCAAATGTTCCACGCTGCTGGCTGAGATTGAGAGGCTATGACTTCCAAGGGCTTGAAAGATTACATATCAGAGCTGAAGCACCGAGCCCAAAACATTAGACCCTACCTCAATTGTGTTACACAGATTACTCTTCCTGCAGATCCTTTTCTCTGCATACCGCAGAGGTGATTTTGGGCCTCCTACCTAGCCCAGCTCACAGCACTCATCTACTTCCTGCCATTCTCATACTCCATCATTCATCCTCAAGCCATTCCCTTTTTCTTCAAGCCACTTCCTTACAAATTAATAAAACCTGGGTCAAGGGCTTTGTTTTGGATAGCCGTCATTGTGGCTGGACTCAGGATGTTTTGGCGCCCCATAACTACAAATATGCCTTAGGGTCTTTATTGTCACTGTGGTAGATTGTAATCAACTAACTAGAATTCTAATAACTTTTCCACAGGATACAAATATAAACTTCTTGAGCCAGGAAGGGCTCTCTATATTAAAATTTTAACATATATCTACTACATCATTCAAAAGTGCACTGAACACATAAGATTTTCTAAAATGAACAAAAAACTCATTATGCTTCTTAATTTCCCTTTCAAAAACTTAGGAAGCCATTTATATCAGGAATCTAACTCACAAAAAATATAAAACAGTATTTTGGTCAAAATTACTAATCATAAAATATAGTAATGCATTGTTCTCACCTGCTGAGGATGTTGGACAGACTGGGAAGATGGAACCCCTGCTAAGTTACTGGAGGATGGCTGGCTCTGGCTCGGCCCCTGTGCCTGGATGAAAACAAGTGAACACAACAAATTAGAGAAGGCCTAAGGTACGGTATACATAGGTCAGGCTTGTAATAAAAACTGCTGAGAAGTTTGCCTGATCAAAATGAAACATCAGCTTGATTAAGTATGTATGGAGAGGCTTCTGGGGTATCTTTTATAAGAAAAATTTAGAGTAGAATCATACCTTAGAAAATTTCTAATTCCATTCGATAAGAAAACCACTGATAATTCAAATCTAACTTACCACTGATGCTCAGGGTATAACTTTAGCTGGATAGTCAGATTCATAATAAAACTGTTATTGGAAGTGTAATAACCAGGGAAAAAGTGGTAAGACTATTAATGTAAAAGAATGTTTAATCTGAACAATTAATTTTAAAAAAGACATTTGATAATGCTAACTTGGTTTTTTTTGCTACTTCCTGTAGTGCCATAGTAAGTTTTAATAAAAATGTCTAAGATCTATTATAATCAACTGACTAGTACCTACATTAATGGTTTCACCCATGGAACATGTGTCATTATCTAGAGCCATTTTCAGATGTCAGAAAACTGGGAGCAATGGCTGTTACTAGCATCTGGTATTCAGAAACCAAGGGATGCTGCTCAAATCCTGCAATGCACAAAAGAGCCTTGCTCATGGCAAAGAATTATCCAAACCTGAATGCCAATCCTATTGTGTTTGAGAAACCCTGATCAAATGTTCCAATTATTCCAAAAGTCTAAATTAAAATAAGTGAGAAAATGAGAAACAAATAAAGGATTATATATCTAGGTAGGTTAAAGAAACAAAAGGGTAATACCTTTGTTATTCCATTTCAATTTATTTTTATTTTTTATTTTTTGAGACAGGGTCTTGTTATGCAGTTCAGGCTGACCTTGAGCTTATTTTGTAGCCCAGACTGGACTTGAACTCGCAACAATCCTCCTGCCTCAACCTCCCAAGTACTTGGATTATAGGTATGTGCCACCATGCCTGGCCTCCATTTCAATTTAGAAGAGGTTCTTTGACGCTTACATGGATATATCCCATCCCATGTGGCTTAGCTACTGTAATTATTCAGTCCTTCTTTGTAATATATTTGTAAATTAACTATTTTGTATTTGAAACTTTACCTGGAATTTTTTTTAAATGGCTGCTAATAACATTAATATTTACAATACAAACTGCCAAATTAATCTGATGTGAGTATACAGTATGCCTATGCAGTATAGTTTAAGTTTCTGGGTCTTCTTGCTTTTTAGTGCTACTCTAAGTAATTGACACTTTCTGCACCCTTTTGGAGTTCTTTATGCCTTTCATGGGGGAACAACATAGAAAGAAAGTTAAGAAGAACATATAGTATTTTACAAAATACTGGAGTATTTAGAAGATTAGAATGAAGTATTGGTGCTCACGTTGGCAGCACATATACTAAAATTAGAAGGGTGTCTTATAGTTATATAATCTATGTACATTTATAAGATATATATCCAATATATATCAAAAGAATACATAAAATACACCATTTCTTTGATTTATTACTTTGTCATTGCTTGTAAAATATATGCCCATTTACATAAATAAATTTGTTGGGAAAAAAGACATAGGATAACAAATGTTCTCAACCTTGCAACATACATCAAATTCTTCAAGCAAAAAAATAACATACCTACCACTCATTAGATTTAACCCAGATTCTAAAATTAGAATCAGTCCTTAACTTTATGGATTACTATTTTATCTGGACATGATACATAGTGACTTGATTAACTGATGTTATTTCAAAAAGACATCTTCATTTATTAAGCCAAATTCCTAAGATGTTTCCTTTTGCTATCTTTTTAGGGCCCTTGCACAAATGAAAATCCTGTGCATTAATTTATAATACTATTTGAAAAAAGGTTTTACTACCTTCCATTCATTTCACCTTACAAAAATTTTTTGTACTGTTTTTCGAAATCTTGTTCATAGGAAGAAACTTAAACAATTTAATATATCTAACCTTACAGTATTAAAAAGTGAAATTTCACTACTCCTTGAAAATATTATATACAAGGACAAAAGATCTTGATTTTGATGAATGATTAAAATTTTAGCTTTGGTATTTTTTTCCAAGGGTTGGCAAGCATTACAGGCAAATCAGGTAGCTTCTGCTTCATATTTTGTTCTTAAATACAAGGATTTTATGACCTCCGAAAGATGGGGAAACTACTGAAAAAATTAAACAATATTCCTCATAATTCCATGATTAAGGGAAATAAGGGATAAAATATTTAAATATAATCGTGTATAATGGTTTAAAAGATATGTGGAACTTTTCCTATAACCTGTGGATGGAGTGTAGATCCTCCTGAAGAAAATGAGGCAGATAAGACCTGCTGAGATGTGGTTCCTTGGGGGAAACAGAAGAAAAGTGGGGATTCTTGTAACACTGTCTGAGGCAGATGGATAAAGGGTAATGAGAAGTCAGAGCCAAAAGGTACAGCTGTTCCCCCTGTAGGGGGAGGTGACTGAAAATCACTGGGATCTGATGAAGTGATTTGTGAGGAATCACTGGAATATTCTGGGCTTCCTATTGGCCAGTTCTGTCCGACAGGCTCTACCACAGAAATGGTCAGTTCTGGGGCATGGTAATTACGCTGTTCTTCAGTCACAGGCTGCAGGTGGCCATGTAATCCAACTGACTGTGGAGGCGTTTCATCCTGATTTGCATCCACTGCAACTTGTTGACTTCGGTAAGCACGTTGTGGTAAAATTCCACCTCCTTCTCCTGAAGAGGAGCTTGGTGTCTGAGCGTGAAATTCAAATACACAGTTGCTTCTGCTCTCATTGCTGTGAGTTAACACAGCAGGCGCAGAATGAGGAACAAAGACGGGGTGAAATTTGAAACATGTAGCATCTGTACTGTGTGGTGGAGAAACACTGGAGAGGGAAGATCCTGAACTCAATCCAGAATCTAATCTTAAATTCTGAAGGTGTCCTACCAGGAAAGCCTGTCCAGACGGAAATTCAAAGACAGCACTTGAGGTAGGGCCCCCTTGTACTGGCTTCTGTTCAGGTATTTGTTTCATATGACTTGACAGTATCGGTGAGTTGTATGAAATGCCCTCATACTGTTCTGCCACCTGGGCCTGGTAATGTACCCCAGCTAGATACACTGCTTCCTGAGGAATAAAATAGCGAGCTTCTTCTGGAAGTACTAGTCCAGGTCTATAGTCACTGTAAACTTGAGTTGGTTCAGACATAGTAGGATGGACCTGTATCTCACATAGCTCTCCAGTTACTCTACTGGCTGTAGTACCCAACATAACTACAGCCTCTGGTGTCCAATTGGTTGGGCTGCCACCAGGTGGAAGAAGATTCTGGCCCACAGTCCTCAGCAGGGGTTGAAAGTGGCGAGTTTGGGCTTCCAAGAAGGAGGTGCTCTTACGCCGCTGGGACATGGCTACTTTCGGTGGACAGGTGGGAGGTGGTGAAAAAGAAACTGGACGCTCATGAATAGTTGGGAAAAATATCTGTGATTCTGGGTATGTTGGGGTCCCCCCACACGGATGCGCCACGGACTGAGGCTGTATCAACATGAATAAGACAAGTAATTCATACATTCATATGTTAAATTACATCAGACATGCACAACTAGATAGTTTTGTGTAACCCTATAAAATAGTTACACTAAATTTATCATAAATAAACAGCAATGCTTTGGAAATTATGTGCAGAGTAAAAATCCATTAAATACATCCAGGGACAATAAAATTAATCTATGGGACTCTACATTAGACAAAGAGCTGCTTTCCTTCAACTTTCCTGTTTCAAAATAAAAGGAATTAAATTTACTAAATGATTATTCTACCTACAATTAATGTGCTTTTTAAGACTTAAGATTTCCATCAATGCAAAAAGTTAAAGGATAAGCATTAAAATACAATAGGCCCAAATATTTTCACACTAAGTACGTTTCAATTTAAGCTACTGTACTAGTCTTCTCATATTCTGTATTCTTAGTATTCTATACTGTGTTAAGAGGCTTCAGTGTTATTTTTCATCAACTAAAGGTATGTTTTCTAAATGAAACTCAGATTTTCATTGGAGAGTATAAGACAAACTACTTGACTATGACAGTCATGCTCCTCTTGTCCCTCCCAAACTAGGCACAGTTGATAGTTTCACTACATAAAACATGTTACAGATGCCAAATCACCAAATATTTACTTTTCTGAATACCATGAATTTTGAGTCTCATAGCTAGTGTCAAAATCAGGCCAAATAAGTAATACACGATAGCCCAACTTGATTAAACAGAACTTTTTGTTAAACAATATTAAATTTATCATTGCCAAATACAAATGATATATGCAATGATTACTGTATTTACTATCATAAACTCCTTTTCAAGAGATCAGTTTCATTCTACCAATACAAAAGACTTTGGGCCAGGGAGATGGCTCAGGAGAATCAGCGCTTCCCTGGCAAGCGCAAGGGTCTGACTTTAATCCCCAGTTCTGCCAAAAAGGGAAGACTTTTATCATGGTAGCAAAGTGGTTCAATTGTCCACAATACCTAAAAGATGATTCAATTTAAGACCAGAATGCTCATTTTACTACTATTTATTCAAGGTATGTCTTGAAGCCATAAAAAAGTATATAATTAATAATTTTCCTAAATAAAAATCTTAAGACTCTAGAGTTGCTAGCCCAGAGGGTTCACTATATTGTTTGACTGGAAAAGCAGCAGCAAGGTCCCACAGCATGTAAAACAGATATCTGAATGAAAAGAGATATCTGAATAGACATTAACAGAACCAAAGAAAGTCAAACAAATAATGGATGTATCTCATGTATTCACTGCAGTCAAGGCCCTATCTTATTCAACCTAACAGCAAATTAATTCCCATGAGGGAACATTTAGTAGACTTTCAGTTTGCTGACATTATTCTACAAATGATTATATCAAATAAAGCTAATAAGTTGTTGTTGTTATTATTATTATTATTATTATTATTATTACAATTGGTACTGGGGATCCAACTCAGGACCTTGCTCTTGCCAGGCAGATGTTTATGCTGCTGAGCTGTATCTCCAGCCCTACAAATGATTATATCAAAAGCAACCTTACTACTCAAATATTCATCAATGACTATGGTAAAAAAGGATTCATCCCGCTTTCTTAGTATCTTTCAGGAATAAAGTGAGGAGCAAACATGTTTGAGTAGAATTTGCTTTTGAGTAAGACAACAATTGGTTACAAAATGCTATGATATGAAAATGTTGAAACTTTATGCTAGTCGAAGATAGGGAAACATAATAGAAGTTCAATTTTATTAGACAGTTACTGTTATGTGTCAGTGACACTATAAATATTCTCTCTTTACCGCTTTGCCTTTATTTCCCCTTAAATTTTATTTCAAAGATTTTTCCTATTGGAGTAACTGGTATCTTAGCATATTATATAACCAAGTTTGCAGTTTAGCTCTGTTCTGTATTTAATTTTCACTAAAATTCTTGTTGCCTGGATGTATTCATTGGTAATAGTTTGTCATTTGTCAGGAAGTTTACAATTACATACAGTACTGACAAAGAGGGAAGGCAGGCTGGAGCGTCGATGCTTGCGCTGAGAGGCAGAGTGCATAGGCAGGACACTCTCCAATGCTTTAGAAAGCTTTTCGGCAAAAGTTTCCTCAGGGGCAGTCCGAAGGAGGGAAGGAGAAAGAGGTGCAGACAGCACTGGTGGTGGTGGGGTGGAAGGAGCACTGGGAGAGATGCGGGGCAGAAAAGGAACGGGAGAAAGATGGGGAACACAAACCGACATGCTACGGCCACGACGAGGCTAAACAGAAAACAAACACATATGAAAAACATAGTACTTTGAAAACAAAATAACCAAATGTACAGTGATAATAAGGCACAGTTAACATAAAGATATGCTCCATTTTTTTAAGGAGAGACTTAATTCCCCAGGGCACATTAATATTCTCTCAACTCTGTTGGTCAAGTATAGTATATGAAGAATTATAAGGATCTAAATATTCTGAAGAAAATATTATTATGCCTACGAATAAGAAAAAAGTGACTGAAGGTAATGAGCAGGAAAAACAATATTAGCTTACAGTTTCTGCAAACAGTAAGATTAAATAAGAAAGTTTAAGGCATATTATAAGATTGGAAGGTTTTAAGACTGGATTATTTTGCAGAGCTGTGGAAACTCGAGAACACGACTCTTATTTCTATTTTAGAAGGCCTCAGACTAAAACCGTTGTTGGCTCACAGTATTTTCTTACATTTCCTAATCTTCTCTACAAGGTAAAAAGTCATTATCTAGTAGGAAAAAGATTATTTTTTGGAAGAAATTCAAAACTGGATATAGGAAACATTCTGTACTTTTACTAGGTCAAGAGGAAAATACCTTCAGTTTCTGAAAAATAACTTAAAAGGTTCAGTAGTATCAGATCCAACTTAGATTTTTCAAAGTTTGAGGTACCCTAATAGAAATTAAGCATAGGTACACAGCAATAAGTCTAATAGGATAAGGTTGCCTAAATCAAATTTATTAATCTCCCTTTAGAAATTATGAACTATGTAGTAACATTTTCTTTTCCAAAATTGGCTCTTAGACAACAGAATCCTTTGAGCTGCATTTGTTGCCTATAAGAATGTATCATGATGATTTACTTATTCCAAAATTTCACTTATAATTTATACTGCATATTATAAGCCATGATCAAGCTATTTTTGAAATGAGACATGAGTAGAATTATAACTTTCCTTGAAGTCCTTAATAATTCTTTACAATACCGCCACAAAACATTTAATTGTCATTAAAAGACAATGCTTTTGGAACAAATAAACATGTTAGTGGCTCAAATATTTAATGTACTCTAAAGTGATGATCCTATTTCTTTTTCTAAAAGAGGCCAATGTTCATAAACATGAAATCAAGGAAACCAAGAGATTAAAAAGTTTTTTAAAAAATCCAGTCATAGTGATTCAGAAAGCAATCAACTGGAAGATAGAAATTGATAAAAACATTTGTCAGAACACAAATACATTTTGTATGCAGTTTTTATAAAGTCCTTCTACCCTACCTAATTATGCCAAAGGTTAGAAAGTTGACTTGCAGCATTGCTTCAGCCTTAGCCTCTCAAGTGCTGGGATTAGAAGTATATGCCACCATATCTGCGAAAGCCTGTAATCCCAGCACTTGGGAGGCAGAAGCAGGAAGACTGCTCCAAGTTCAAGGCCATCCTAGACTACACAGCCAGAGTCCCTTTCTCACAAATAAAACAAAACAAAACAAAACAAAACAAAACAAAACAAAACAAAACAAAACAAAACAAACCTAATTTAACAAATTAGTAGTTTGCCTTGTGTTATTGTTGCCATTCATCTTGAGACTCTAGCAAAGCAGACTGATCAATGGATTGTGAAACAAAATAAATCTTTTACTTTAAGCTGTAGCATAAAAGACCAGAGCAAGCAGAAGTGTCTGCAGAGAAAGATTTTCATTTAATGAAGAGTAAGAATTCCACAAAGCTGAGAAGATGGAAAAAATTAGTTTACTTAAAAATCTCACTGAACAAAAGCTAAAAATGGATCAGTTCTAAGTTCTTTCAGACAGATAAGGTATTTTATGTTCTTCTAAAGATGTCAGTCAGTAAGACACAGGGTATTATCTGATGATCTATCTTCGTATTCTCTATGTGACAAGCAAGAGTGGGTAATAATGTATGTGTACATATAAAATGATCTCCGTAAGTTGATTCTGAAAATCAGTAATAAAACATATTTCAAATAAAGGGCAAAGCAAATGAACATATACTGGGAAAGGGATTTGTATCCAACACAGACTTTAAAGGCAGGAACACGCATAGCAACTGATGATTAAATACAAGCACTAAATTAAAGGGTCATACAAATAAAGGATTTCTTCACTCTAGAGTACTCACATGCAGCATTCTATAATGGTTTGAAGGTCTTACCTGTGTTTTATACAGTAAGAAATCTTACAGAGAATACTTAGTAATTATTTTAATAGATAAACTTAAAAAAAAATTCTCTTTACTCCATCCCCCAATACTTGTAGGTCTAGTTTATGATGCTTTAAATAATTTATACTCTGATGAGCTAGACATTACTTTAAATCAAATACTGACTAATCTAAACCTTACATGTAATAGTTTCATGTAGGCAGATCAGCTAATTCTCTTAACAATGAGTCTAATTTACCCTGTTTAATCTACTTCAATTATCCTCTATAATGTACTGATTCCCTTTTGAAATACAGTCATCCTTCAGTATCAGTGGGAGGTTGGTTCCAAGTCCCACCTATCATCTCTAAATTAGTGATGATAACCTAATATAATATAAATGTTAGGCAAATAGTTGTTATATTGTTTAGGGGATAATGACTAAAAGGTTTACACATGTCTAAGACAGATGCAAATTTTAACATTTTAATATCTATATCCACCTGTGGAACCCACAGACATAGAAGGCTGACTGTACACCTTGTATGGTTTCTACTTTAAACTTACATTGCTACTTGGATAGTAGAAAACATCTGAATTTAGCAAATTATCTATTGGCTCTTCTAGTATTACACTTTCATCTCTATTTACTTACCATACATGAAGGTGGATACACGCCATGCGGCTGAGATTGTGCTTGGACAGCAGCAGCTGTATGTCCTGGGACTGTACCAGCAGGATGTGCCTGTTCATGTTGGGAACCATATGAGACTGTCTGTTGGCTGCTCACTCTAGATTCCGTGAAGACAGAGGATCCCTGACCACTGTCAGTTGTCCCATCAGCTGAAATGAATCACCAAACACCAACAAGAAAAACCCAAAAAACAAAAACAAAAGAGAAATTACAAAAGGAAGTTCCCATTTCCCATAACATTTCAGAGATTATATTATGGTTAACTGATTATCTGTACAAACTTATAAAGTAAATTTCTACATTTACGTGAGGGATTCATTTGGAAAAAAATTCTAATATTCTTAAAAAATTTCTTGGTTATCAAGAATCTTATCATATGCGAACCAAGGGAAATAAAATGGAATATTGTAAGTAAGCCTTAAATTTTATCCAGCTTTCAAAGTCTTATTTGTGGGCTCTCTCAATCAACAACTACCAGCTACATT